CTTCCTCTGCGTCCCTGTCACATGCTCCTATTACCCAGGTAAGAACAGTATGTCCCTGTTCGTCGTGTGTGAGAGCCAGGAGAAAGGGCCAGGATCCAGCACTCCCAAACCCTGAAGGAACCAGAACACAGAAATCACATGAAATGCACTCGTTGCCAGTAGACGAGGACTCAGGATCCCCTACTGCCCCCTCCCCTGGTCAGCCACAGACACTGCCCATGCCCTGCCTGGCCCCCATCCTGGGCCTGTCTCCAGTCTTGCCACCCTGATCTACCAGCACTGGCATTCACATTCCATTTGTTCTTTCGCTCCCAAATGACTCCTCTATGTGTCCCTGGTCACCCTATTTCCTAAGGTAAGTTTGGGAGGGGGCAGTTGGTGAACTGTGGTCCCTCTCTCTGACCCACATTGTGTCCCCTCTATGGGAAGAACAGTCGGGGGATGTTGTGACTGAGGATACTGAGAAAGGACTTGAAGAGAGCCATCCCACAGGCCAGAACAGTGAGTGCAGGATGGGGTGTACACCAGCAAATGGGGAGGTGGAGGAGAAGGGACATGGGATGGGAGGCTCTCACCAGGTACTGAAAAGAGGTGTTATAATAGCCCACTATGCATGACTCTCTTGGGTGGTGAGTGGCAGCTTTATCCTAACAACAGAGGACTGATGTTTCCTTCCCACCAATGACAGGGCTTCCAGAACCTTCTGAGGCCCTGCCCCTTCAGGGAGCAGCATACCTATCCTCACCTCAGGGATGAGCAGGGCAAGGCATTAGCACTGTAAGCATCCAGGCACAGAAGCATTTCCAAGAGAAGGTGACAAGTGGTATGGCCCCAAGAGCAAGAAGGGCTTCCTCCAGGCTCCAACAGCGTGAATGTAAACCCCATTTGACTAGGCTCCCTAGTAAAAAGTCAACACAAAATCGTGTCGGCAAAGCTGTCACGTTTTTTAAGCCTCTGGGAGCTGAGTATACGCATTCTTCTACTCGCCTTTCTGCTATAGAATTGTCTCTATTTTTAGCAAAGTACGTCCACATAGTGAAATCAAAGAGTTCTAAGTAGTTTATATTTAAAAAACCTTGGGCTCCCTGCCCAAACCTTCCCTACTTCTTAGAGGAACATATTTTCAATCTCTATAAAGATTTTTGCCTGACATTTATTTCTGTATATTTGTGTAATACACCGTCTTGTTATTTCTTGATTAATCAAAATTTTAGAGTATCTTAATTGAGTTTCTGTTAAAGGAGAGAAATCAGTTCTCTCCCACCACACCCACACCCTGCCATCCACACTCTCCCCTCCCAACAGGCCAGAGCATACATTATCCACAAGGGGTATATATTGTTCTCTGCTGCATGGATGGACAGCCTCCATTCTCACACAGCCTTTATGGGTTTTTCCAGAAGTTAAAAATTGCCTTGTGTTTTTATTTGCTCAGTGTTCCATGTACTTCTTAGTAGCATTTCCAAAAGTTTTAACACATCTGTTAAATACCTCAGAACTTTTCTAAGCATTCAAAAAAGCTCTTTTTCCTTTCTCTTCCCTTCCTGTGTTGGGCCCCTTTTTCCAGATTTCCATGTATTTCCAGATTCCAAATTTCCAGATTTTCCAGATTTTGTATTTATCTAGTGGTTTTCAAAGAAGAGTTCGGGGGGGGGAGATAGATAAATAGATGATCAGTAACAGATGGATAGATAGAGAGATGGATGGATAGTTAGGTAGGTGGATGGATTGATTGATGGACAAACAGATAGATGATAGATAGATGGATAGATAGATAGATAGATAGATAGATAGATAGATAGATATGGATAGATAATGGATGAATGAACAGATTGTTGATCAATTAATCAATAGATAATGGATGGATGGATGGATGGATGGATGGATGGATGGATGGATAAATAAATAGGTCTTGCTTTCATGTCTGAAACTATCTCTAGTCCTCCTTCCGTCTTGACCAAGATCAGTAATCCTCTGTCCATAGAATCGTGGTCTATGTGTGCAATGCCTTCTTTGATCTCTGTGAATCTAAACTCTTGTTTTTCTGTTCTTTTTAACTGCCTGGTTATTGTTTCTTCTACACACCTGCTTTCTGATTTGGTTCCTTTGAGTCTGTCTTTCATGTAGAGCCTTTCTCTTTAGTGTCTGTGATCCTGGCTGTTCATTTGTATTTCTGAGTTAGGCACTCAAGTGCTGGCTAGAATTTGGGTAGATGGGGTTGGGGAGGGCTTACAGACTGATGCAAGGAGTGCATAAACCAGGCTCAACGGAGAAACCTCTCAGCACCAGCACCTGGTGACACTCTCTCTGGGGATGGCTGACTTTCTCCCTAGGGAGGGTGGATGGGCTTGCCTGCTCTCCCTGGGCAGTCATAGTGGGGAGGAGCTAAGAGTCCGGAGTGTCTGATGTTCTCTTAATGCTGTCTTTTCAACCCCTGCTGGGTCTGCTCTTCCTGATGTGCGGATTCTCTGTTCCTCAGCCAGGAAGCTCTTCACCTTGTTACAGGTTGAATTGCGTTCTCCTCCAAAAAAAATTCATACGTTGAAGACTCAAACCCTAGTCCATCAGAATGTGACACTACTTGGAGATAGGGACATTAAGGATGTTATTAGCTAACATGAGAGCTTTAGGGAGGGCCCTAACCCACTGAGACTAGTATCTTTATAAAAATTTAGGCATGGACACTCACATGGGGAGAATGTCCATGCATAGCAGAGGTCCTGTGGTGTCTGCTCCAAGTGACGCTATTAACCACAACCCCACGTGGGCTTGCCTCCTCCTTGCCTCTTCTCCGCCTCCATCCTGCACTGCCCGTCCCTCCTGCCCTCTCTGCCCCGTCTCCTCTCACTCTTCTCTCTGCCCTCCCAGCTCATCCCTACACGTGGCTCTTACTGACGGCTTGTCCCTGGAGCCCAGAGGAAACCATGAGCTTGGGAGCCAGACCGACCTCAGCGTGAACTCCAGACCTGCTGCTGTCTAACCTGCGGTCTCGGGAGGTCAGCACCCGGGTCCTGCACCACTGAGATGGGCAGAGCATTTCCAGCAGCATCTAGCCCCACCCGTCGACCCACCGTCACCTGCCCAAACCCGTTGGCGGTTTCTCTCTCCATTTTATTTCCCAAATGTTCGGTGTTGTCATTATCCTCTTGCTTTTCTTTTCTGACTTCTATTACATACACACTCATCCCTGAAAATATGTATTGTTTACTTTTGCACACTTCTGAGCCTAAAAACATAAGGTGTGATATTGTTGACTATCTTGTTCATATACCCTGTTACCCAATTTCAGTGCATATACGTGCTGAGCTTGTTGTTTACATGAATAACAAGCCTTTAAAATGTAATCAAATTCAGTTTTACAAAGACCTTGGTCCAGTTTTATCCAGCTGCTCACTGGTTAGTCCCAGGGTTAAGAGAAACCACCACCACATGTCAGAAGCTGTCCGAGTCAACGCTGTCTGGGGAGCGCGGCCAGGTGCTTGCCCTCAGGGGCTGGAGGTCAGTCGTAGGACCAACAGAGGCTCTGAGAGCCCGACAGGGATGCCCAGCTTCACAGTGGCAGCTGGGGCTGGATGCATGGGGCACTCAGGCTGGCGCAGGAATTAAGGAGAAGGCTGTGTGTGAGGGCAGGAGTCCAGGGGGAGGCAGAGAGCACATGACAGTCCACAGGGGTGGAGGTGAGCGTGGCCTAGGCTGGATTCTGGACTTAACAGCGGACTGGACAGGACCCCAGGAGAGGCGTGGTGGCACAGTGCAAAGCTCGCTCTGCACCCCGACTGCGGTGTAAGGCATAGGCTGGGCAGGAGGTCGGGGTGGGCAGTGAAGGAAGGTGCCTCCCCAGCTGGGGAACCCTAACCCTAATTTCCACTGTCTCCTGCGGACTGAGCTCCTTCTGTGTGCCAGACACACGCTCTCATCAATGAGGTTTCGACCCTCCGAGAAGGGCTCCACGTTAAGTGCAGAGTTCTTGTCCCCACCGCAAAGGTGAGGGTGGAACCCGGGCGTCCCACCTGCTCCCGCACGCACAACAGCAGTGGGAGTGGGAACCGGCATGGAAGCGTGAATGCTGACTCTGTTGCATGCACCCCTCTGGGTCCGGGGAGGGGGTGGGCTTGTGTGATGCCGAGGGGCTGGCTCGCTCGGGGCTGCAACTGATAGAAAGGGAGAGAGAGGGCCTCGGGCTCTCAGTGTGGCTGGCGGCGTGGGCATCTGCACGGGGCGGGGGCCGTCAAAGAGCAAGAAGAGGGATTTAGGGCTCCATAAAAATGTCTGTAAAGGGACAGAAACGAGTTATGGAGCTCCAGAGAAGAGTCTGGAGGTGAGATGCTCAAGGCCTCCATCGCCCCTCCCCCAACCATCCACATCCAGGTGGTGTGGACTCTCCCCAGACGTCATCTGTGCAGCCCACAATCGCGGGAGGCAGGTGTCCCCATTCTCTCACTCCGCGGGATGCGTCAGCCATGCATCCGGTGCCAGGAGCAGGGTGCAGGGGGGCCCGCGAGGCGTCACAGTTGTGAGGGAGGCTGCAGCTCTCTGCAGGATTATCGGGGAAGGCCGTAAGAAGCCACGCTGCGGAAGGACGTGCAATGGGGAGAGAAGCCCACCGTGGGGACACGCAGGAAGAGCAGCCCCACAGGGGGGACTCTGCAGGTGGAGCAGCTCCTATCCCGGAGACCCAACGGGACAGTAGGAAGCCAGGGGGCGTGGGACAGTGGGGCCAGCTGGGGGGGCAGGCCAGACCTCACGTTTCCCCCCCGGGGTGGAGGGATGGACAGGGGACCCCCAGGCACGGGGCTCCCTGCGTTAGACGCCCCACGGTGACTTACTCGTCCACGGCTAACATGAAACACAGTTTGGGGAGGAAACAGGCAATAAGGAAACCATGACGTAATGAATGCTCAGCACCGCAGATCACGCCCCGGTGTAAGCAATACCGCTCAGGGTGTGTGGGGGCCTGCTGTGGTAACCCCGCCCCGTGTAGGGTCACCTCAAGGGCCAGGCTGTTTTAGCAACGTTACAAGGTATTATCATTTAAAAAATCTACAACATTGACCTTCACATTTTTTTTCCAAGCCGAAAACAGTGGCGCATAATGAAGGTTTCTTACCTCTGTGCATTTTACCCTAAAAGGAAAGCACTGATGGAGTCTGGCCAAATCACCTTTGCGGCTGGGAGTGGAGCCACTGGTGGGGCAGGGTCCAGCTCCCAGGCCAGTGCTTGGGGGAGGGCCCGCTGCAAAGCCCGCGCTGAGCCTGGCCACCTACAGAGTGCCGGCATGGGCCAGGCTTGAAGTCATGCCTTCACCAGGCCAACACTCCTCCTGAGCCCAAGAGAAATTTGGAAGAATTAATTCCCAGATTATGGGAGGCCTCGCCTGGATTAATCATCCTGTCTTCTCTCCCCTTATTTAGAAAAAAGGCAGAACACTTTCCCAAAAACAGCCCATGAATTTTCCAAATGGCCTTCATACAAGAACCTGGTCCATGAATTCCTTTTTTTTTTCTGCAGAGCCTGGAAGAACATAACAGGGGGAAGGAGCAACCACACCCAGGAACAGGGTCTGGTGGAAAGAAAATTCAAAAGCAGTGAGGTCATACCGTGACTGGGTCCCCAGAGGCGGCTCTGCAGGAGAACAACCTTGCCTGTGCTCTGTCCTTGATGTCCCCGAGAAACGGGGCAGCGAGGTGGGCAGATAACGGGCGCTACGTTCTAGAAATAAACAGGAAGAGGGCCTTTCTGAACAGACCGGGACACCCAGAAACCAGGTGGGAAACAAATTCACAGTCTTTCTAATGTAAACTTTTACAAATTTAAACAACTAACATAATCTAACATTTTACCAATTCCAACACAATCAACAAAATGTGTTTTAAAAGCCAGACCGAAAACTATCCTTATGCATTGAATAGAGACAACGTGGGTGGCATGATCCCTACACTCCTATAAATTAATAAGAAAGATCCGGCAAAGGGGAGAGGTGTGCAAATTCACAAGGGATCCATTGGTAACAACAGTGGTCACGTGCCAGGATGATTAACCTCGCCAGTCCCACGGAAGCTCTGCTTAAATTAATGAGGTGTCATTTTTCATTAAGCAGATTGGCAAAACCTTTCATTATTGTAACCAGCTATGTGGGTCAGAACGTAGGAAAACAGCTCGTGTGCCATGAGCGGGGAGGTCAGTTCCTGCCGCTTCCCAGGATGGTGCTAAGCTCCTCGGGCCCTGCACTTCTAGTCCTCAATCGACTCTCTAGAAACACGAGCAGGTGCTTACCAGACGTCAGTGAGGACGGTCTCCACACCAACCCTGGCAGAGGAAGACCCTAGCAGCCCCGCACGCCCGTCGATGGGATGGTGAATGAGTGACTCATGACCTCCATGCTGTGACAGATTATCCGATCAGTAAAAAGAAAAAGGAAGGCTTTGAGTTTCATAGTACACTTTTAGTGGAAAAAAGTCTCAGAACAAGGTCTATCACATGATCCACACACAAGGATCAGCATGAGCACAAACGATTAAGAAACCACCAAACAGGAGGGTTGCCCTGGGGCCCCTCCATGTCCACAAGTCCTTCGGGGACAGGAAGCGAGCTCGGGGGAGCAGGGTGGATCTGTCCTGCCAGTGTGCTCAGGAAGGCTCCAGCAAGGATGCAGAGCCCCGCAGGGCAGCGTATTCCCTCTTCTTCTCTCCATCTGCATGGAGGGCTCCGGGAGGAAGGAATCGATACCTCTTGTCCCCAGCCAGGGGTCCTCCTGACTCCCAGTCGTGACCCGCTCTCTTCCTGCCCAGCAGAACGTGAAACCGGAGTCAGTGAGCTGAGAAAAGCCCTCATTTCCAGAGCTGGATACGGCAAAGATAAAGAATAAAAGCAGGAACTAGTAAGAGTGGCCGGGTGACCCCAGTAGGAACCATGACCTGCTGTGACCTGCTGAACTGTGACCTGGCCCACTGCTGACCCTCGGTCACCGAGGGGAGGCAGGACCGTGTTCGTGGGGAAGAGCTGTGCGCTGTGGCAGGGACCCACAGGTGTGAAACCTCCTAATGCAGGCTTGCTGGACGAGTGACCCGTAGGGCTCCTCTTGGATGCCCCTGCCCCGGGGTGGGGTCAGTCTTCTGAGGGTCACAGCCTGGCAGGAGGAATGACCACGTGTTCTGTGCTGTGGGCTCTGCGGTCTGGTCTGTAACGGCAGACGGAGCTGACGGAGCACCTCAGGTTTGTTCTCAAAGCAATAAGGTCGGTGGCTTTAGAGTCGGTCTCCTCCCTGTCTGGTCACCGGGGGGCTGGCAGACTCCGAGAAAGGCTTTCCTACCACTGGGTTAGCAGTAATTTCATACACACACACACACACACACATGAGCTTGGGGTACAGGAGGAGAAATGCCAGGAGAGCAGCAGGGAGGGAGTTTCCCTGGAGTCCTTGCTGGGCAGAGGGAAACCACGGGTAGCAGGGTTTCGGCTCGGCTCAGACCCCTCACCTGGGACCCCCACCCCCGCCGTGCAGGGCGCCAGCACCCGGCTCCTCTCTGCCCTGGGAAGCAATTTCAAAGTCACCGTTCGCCAGTGTTTCAGGAAGGTTTTCTGATTTTCCAAGAATGTGTGTTCCTACCACCATATTGGAAATCCCAGGCACACATTGAAAAGGATGAGACAGATGCGCTTGAAAGATATGGAAGGTTGAGTGTTCTTTGCAAAAGGGGTTTGTAGAGCAGCATGGGCAGTATTTCACTTGGGGACAGACATGATAGATAGATAGATAGATAGATAGATAGATAGATAGATAGATAGATAGATAGATAGATAGATGAGAGATAAATAGAGATATGGAATATTACTCAGTCATAAAAAATGAATCTTGCCATTTGCAACAACATGGATGGACCTAGAGGGTATTACGCTAAGTGAAGTAAGTCAGACAGAGAAAGACAAATACCGTATGATTTCACTTATATGTGCAATCTAAAAAACAAAACAAATGAATAAACAAAACAGAATCAGTCCTATAAATACAGAGAACACACTGATGGTCGTGGGGGGAGGGGGTGGGGACGGGAGAGGGAGGCCCAGGTTTCCAGTTATGGAGTAAGTCACGGAATGGAAGGCACAGCCTAGGGAGTCGAGTCGATGGTACCGTCATGGGCTTTCCAGTGACAGGTGGTAACGACTCTCGTGGGGAGCACCGCACAATGAATGCACAGACTTGTTGAATCACTCTGTTGCACCTGACACTGATGTAACATCATGTGTCAACTATACTTCAATTTTAAAAGGTGGGGGGAGGGATGCCTGGGTGGCTCAGTCAGTTAAGCGTCTGCCTTCGGCTCAGGTCATGATCCCAGGGTCCTGGGATCGAGCCCCGCATCGGGCTCCCTGCTCCGCGGGGAGCCTGCTTCTCCCTCTCCCACTCCTCCTGCTTGTGTTCCCTCTCTCACTGTCTCTCTCTGTCAAATAAATAAATAAAATCGTAAAAAAATAAAAAAATAAAAAGGTGGGGGGAGATTAAATAAACACATCACAAAAAACAGTAGTAAATGCCGATTTTCAAAAATTCAAAAGGTACAGAGGATTATAACGTGAAAGATAAAATTGTCCTTTCCTCCGAAGGAAGCACAGCACTAACATTTTCTTGTGTCCTCTATAAGATACATGTTCATGCAAAATCTTACATATGCACATCCTTTATACAATTTAATAATTACGTATATATATAATCCATACTCTTGACTTTCTATGATAATTAATACTATGTCATCAATATCAACAAACAGATCTACACCTTTCTTTCTTTAAAGGTGGCTTAAAATTCATCTCATGGACAGGACAGTTTGTTTAACCAATCCCATAGACATGGATATTTTTACGGTTCCCAGAACGTTAATTTTTCAAACAGTTATAGAGGGAAACTTGTCACACTGAAACATGGTTTTGGGAGGAGAAGAATCTGCACGAGTCAGATGTATTTCCGGTGTATTTTAACTCCTGGAATCCGATGACTTAGAGGAGCATGCCTTCTTCCATTTGATAGCTATCTCAGAATGCCCTGAGTTATATCCCACCCACGCTGGATCACGTGTCTTTGATTTCCAGCTGCTTAAATATAAATGCAGATCCGAGTCTCTTTAGACATTCAACGGCTACGCGCATTTCTTTTTCACCAAAATCTGAGTGAGACAGCGTTCGACATCGTCCGATGTCTGTGTGTGCGCCTATGTGTTTCCTCAAGGGTTGGGGTAGTTTTAGTCTTGCCTGTGGTCACATTGATAACTTTAAATAGGCTACTGAAAACTCTTTCTTGCTTTGTAAAATGTAGACAATACCTATTGTCTTTCCTCAGTGAGTGTTGAGCTCACCAGTTCCTGTCGGAGCCCATGCCCCTCCCCTGCGTCCCTAATCTCCCGATTCTGGACAGCTGCACGGTTTTGCACCACCCACCTGCACGGCCTTGACCGCGGGGCGGGTGGGAGCATGGACCCCGCGGTCAGGTGGCCGCGCCATCCTCACCACCGTCCCCTCGTGCAGATGACCGCTGCAGCCTGGTTACTCGGATGAAGCCCGTGACTAGATCGTCCATTCAGGTAATGTTTTCTGAAAGGCTCCGTGGATGCTCTTCCCAGCGCACTGGCTCGTTGGAAGACCCCACGGCGCCCTCACCCAGTTACCTGCCAACTGGACACAGGTTCCAGCTACACTTCCTACTCCCCACGTCCTCTCTAGAAATCTGCAGTCACTCACGTCTCCGCATGGAGGTGACTTTGTCCGTCTGCCGGCTGCCGAGGCATTCCTCCTCACCCTTCACGTGGATGAACCTCACAGGACGCTCCAGCGGCCACATCGCTGGAAGGGCTCAGCTCTTCATTGTGCCAAGAATATCAATCAGTCTGAACCCTACAGATTAATCAGTCCTGCAGAATGAAGCAAGATCATCCTCTTAAATGGGGAATCTTAAACATTCAGTGCTCCCCCTTGCCTCCCAGATTACATTATACTGAGTCACACATATTTTGCCATTTGGCCCTGCGTTTCCCAGAGTGCTGAGCTAGGTAATTAGACAGGCTCACAGCAGAGCACAGCAGTTTCCTCGGCCGGTCCTTGGGGTCAGATGCAGTAAGAGAGGCGTGGGTGTCCACGTCATGCTCGTGGGCCCAGCTTGTGCTTAGGGGCCCCCGAGCGTCCCCCCAGAGGCTCTGCTGTGCCTTGTTCTCTCCCATTGTGTGTGTAGCTATTCTTCAAGCAGACCTGCGGTGACATCAGGCCAAGCACCAGCAACGGACACACACACACCCCTTATTCTATCTCATCCCAAGCAGTTCTGTTTCCCTGGTCAAACCTAGCTAATAAAACCATATGTTATTAATCATGAAATGCATCCCATTAAATCGCAAGGCTCTGCCTGTCTTCCCCCGTACGGTGCCGGCTCGCTTAGATTGTGTGCAGGGGACATACTCATATTTACAACAGCCGTAGAAACACCAGTTTCTTTCGCCACTGTGCCGTGAAGGTGGCAGCCTTCACACTTCACAGAGCAGCTCTGAGTTTCCCCTTCTTAAACTCTAAGAAAGGCGATGACACCACCGACTAGTATTTTCTGGAAGGGCGTGTAATGATGTAGGAAAATAATCACCATGTATTGGGGTTAAAAACCACGACAAAGCATTATATAATAAAAGTTATAAATACGTTGCACAACATATTACCTGTCTACGGAGGGAACCAGAAAAGACATCCAATATGACTCATTATTGTTTCTGGGTAGTCCGATTTTGACTTACTATTTTCTTCATTTTTCAAATATTTTATAATAAATGTGTATTGCTTCTATAATCAAAGCAATAATAACTGCCATTTTCTAAGAGAGATAGAGACATATTTAAGTTGGCGGGAAGAAGACCTCACCCTGATCTGGGGCTTGAAAGCACAATTTACGGCCTTCCGGTGATGGTCCTTCCTGCTCTCAGTTCCTATCGCCTTTCCTCCAACACAACGCCGTCCTGAAAGCTGATGTCCTAAAATGTCCCTCGGCTCTGTCCCCTCCCCTCCGGACCTCCACGCCCCGCCCCAAGTCCGGCCGCACACCGTTCCTCTGTTCCGGAGCCCCACCGGGCTTCACATCCACGCTCTCCACCGCCCCGTGGTCATCTTCATCCCCGAACCACTCCACACCCCACATCGGTGCGGGTACTGAGCACCCCCCTGCAGCTCAGGCCTCATAGACGTGCCAACTGCTGCAGAATTAAGCTCCGGATTTCCACCCACCAAGTCTGTGACTTCCCCGGCTTTCACCGTCTCAGGAAATCAGAGCATCGTTCGATTAGTTCATCCCCGAGCCCTGGAGGCCTCTGTTCACTCACGGATAGAAAGTCTCATCAACCACAGCTCCAAAATATGCCCCGGACCCATCCTTTCATTCCACCTGCATGCCTAACGTGAGTCCCAGCCAACATGGTCTCCTGCTTCCGACACCCCAGTAGGCTCCTAACGGGTCTCCCCAATTCCCTTCTCCCTCCTGCATCCTGCATCTGCACGGAACTCCGAAAAACCTTCAAATCCAAGTGGCACAAACACGTGGTCAAATGCTCCCCATGGATTTGTGTTGAGCTTGGGGAAACGCGGACTCCCTCTGACACAGCTCTTGCTGCCCCCTTCTTAGATCTACTGCTTACTCCCCTCTGGGCTCCCCGGCTCCGAGCACAACGATCCCTTCTTGTTCCTCAGACAGACCAAGGCTGACCCTGACACAGGATTGGGTTTCGGTGCTTGATTCTCCACCGCCAGGGATGTTTCTCCCCGCTTTTTCACGGCCTGTGCCTCCCCACCTTGCAAAGCTCGGAGCGGACATGATTCTCTAAAAGAGGCTTTTCTGGTTCCCTCCATAGACAGGTAATCAACCCCCAGCCGGGCATCCCTCCTTGCATGTAGCGCTGTCTGAACCCGTCACCTCCACTGTGGCCTTGGATGTCACTCACCAGTCCCCCAACACGAGAAAGTCAGCCCCATCCTCTGCTTCTCTCGATGCTGTTTTCCAGGCTCTAACACGGTGCCTACGGTTATTGAACTGTGGTCGAATGGGTAAAATGAACGGATCTCCAGGACTTTTTCATAGTTTTTACATCAGTGTGTCTAACTAACACTAACACCAACACCTGTCTCTGTGAGAGGAAACCCCTGCCGTAGCCTTAGCCTTCCCAGTTCAGTCTAGTAGCGACCGGTTAGTGGGCCGCCTTGCCCAGCTTGCTAGAGGCCCACCGGCTGTGGGAGCAGGAGGCAGGAAACATGACGGGCCCCTTCGAATGCGTGCTCAGGCTTCACGGGAGCACTGACTCGGGGGCACCGACTTGGGGGTGCTGGCTCGGGGTGCCCACAGCTCTGAGCCGCCAAGGACACCGTTTGCGCTCCCTGTCCTGGGAGAGAGGCTGCCCTCCAGAGAACAGTTCACAGGCACTCCAGAAGAGGAGAGAAAGCAGACGGGAGGGAGAGTGGATCGGAGTCCGGACGCAACCACAATGCTTCTCTTCGACCCACCCTCGACCTGCACTCAGGAAAGTATCTGCGTTCGTGCTGGCATGGTTCCGCACCCAGACTGGGGGAGTCCTGCCAACTCCCCATGTCCCGTCCACCCTCCCACAACAGCCTTTGGAGAGGTGTCGTCCAGAGCCATGACTCCGGCAGGCTCCAGCGCCCATGGTCAGAGTGGCTAGTCGTGGTGAAACACCCCCCAGGAAGAAAGCCCTTCCTTTTGAGGCATTTTTCTTCAAATTTCGTGGGGTACTGTCTGGAACCCCAGCTACTCCAGGCACTGTGTTTGGAGACAGTGAGGGACACTAATGCAAAGCTGTGAGAAAGTCCTGGAGATCCAAGGTGGGGGTGGCCCGGTGTGTGAGAGCAGAGCGTCCTTGCTGCAGAAGCGGGCCAGTGACAGGTGCACCCCGCACCCATGAAGTAGGGAAAGAGGAGAAACCTTGATCACGCCACATGTTGGGGAGGACGTGGAGCAACGGGATTGTGGCTGGTGGGAAGGGAAATGGGTCCGGCCGCTCTGGAATGGGACACGGCAACTTCTTAGAAAGCTAACCATGTCCTTACCACCCTGCCCAGCAACTGTATTGTGGATGTTTATCTCAGACAAATGGAAAATTAGGTTGACCCTAACACCCACACGAGTGCCAGAGAGCTTTGCTAGCCCACACCCACAGAAACAGCCCAGATCCCCATCGATGCGTGAACAGTGGCCCCTCCACATAGTGGGTACGGATGAGCAAAGGGAGTGAGCCGAAAACAATCTGGGTGTGGGTCTCAAGAAAGTTATGTTGAGCGGAAAGCAATCTGAGAACGTTACACACTATAGAATTCCGTCTCTGTAGCACCCTTGAGCTGACAAAATTGCAGAAATGGAAGAGAGGAGTGGTGGGCTGGGTTGGGTCATAAAATGGAGCATGCAGGACCCTTGCAGAGATGACCTGTCCCCCCTCTTGATCTTCGGTGGCCACAGGAATCCGTGTATGGGATAAAATTGCATAGAACTAAGTGCACACATACACATACACTTACCTGTAAAAGTGACGACATCTGGATAAAGTCAACAGACTGTTTAAATATAAATTTCCGGGGTGATTCCGCATTGTAGTTAGGTGACAATCAGGGAAAATGCACAGAAGCATCTATGGGATCTGTTTCTCACGACTGCGTGTCTCTCTACAATCACCTAAAAGTAAAATATTAAAGAAATGAGCGTGTCAGCATGTAATGACCCAGCTTCAAAACTACGTGGCCTTAGAGTTAAATGAATATAAATCGTGATCGATTTGAATATGAATATGATCTGACGCACGCGAGCACAACGGCGGTGAGGTGCCGGTCTGGGTCTGCGCGCCCCTCGGCCTGGCAGAAGCTGGTGAGCCAGCAGACCGTGGACGATCTGGGGACACGGGGACCGTCACAGCACTCCCGAGGCCGCCAGGCATTGCTCGGGAAAGCTGAGTGTGTCATCACGGAGGGGCCGGAAATTCCACTTCTGGGGACACACGCGCGCCACCGGCAAGTTGGCCCAGGACGGACCTGCAGGAGGGCTTTTGTGCGGGCGGGACGGGACCCCCAGCAGTCAGCAGCATGCCGTGTGCGCAGAGGAGTAGAGGAGGGGGCGGGTGCAGCCCCCGGCCGCCTGCAAAGTAAGAGAACAGGGGTCTGCACCTGCATTCCACGTGGGCTGGAGACAAACAGAAAGACCCAAACAACACCGCACCCAGCCACGTACCTCATCCAGGCTCGCGGCCCACAAGAGCTTGTGCCTCTAGGAGGTGGGGTTGACACAGGAATGAGGGATTTGGGAATAAATGGGGTAAAAAATAAAACCAGACGAAGCCTCTGCGTGGTTGCTGCCCGGGGAAGGCAGTGCCTTGAACTGCGGACAACAGCGAAATGGCGCAAGATCCCTGTAGGGGTGGGGGTGGGAGGACAAGGGAGCAGACCCTTTCCAGAGGCTGCATTTAGGTGGGCCCCAGAGGGAGGGTCGGAGGGAAGGCTCTGCTTCCGGGGTCACTGGGGTAAAGGCAGAAAACCAGAGAAGGAGCGGGGACTCTGGCGAGTGCAAGCAAACTGAAAGCTGGTTCCCAAGCCTCTCTCCCGCCAGCCAGAAGGGAGAGGAGCACCCGCTCCCCCGCTCCCGCTCCTTCCGAGGGGAGCTTCAGGTCTGTCCTCAGGGCGGCTGTCAGGCAGAGAGGGGCCCCACGGTGCGTCCCAGCCCTGCCTCCTGCCTCATTCTGGCTGCTGGGCCTCCGGGCAGCGAGGACATTCTCCCAGGGGAGGGAGCCGAGTGGCTGGGATCGGGACTGGGACGCAGGCAAGCTGGGGACCTGTAGGAGCAGGCCAGCTGGCTTCCCGGCTTCCCGCTGTTGCTGGGATTGCTCTTTTCCTGCCTGACCCTGACCGGGTGCTAGAGAGGCAGCCCCGGAGTGGAGGCCGGGCATGGGAGGCCCCGCCAAGCAAAGCTGCCTCGTAACCTGATGTTGTTTCCCGGGGAAAATGCAACCATTGTTTCCACACAAAACACGCCTCTGTCCCTTGCCAGGCCTGTCTGTAGAGAGTTATTTCTGCAAAAGCCTGAAGGAAAAGACTGGAAAAAAAAAAAAAAATGTGCTCTGGCTTCAGTTTCCCCATGCACACTTCTTAGCCAAGTACCGTGAGGCATGCTTAGCAACAGGGCCAAAGGGGCCGCAGCGGGGGACAGCGGGACATGGCATGCACAGGCGGCCCCTAGCCTCCTGGTCCTGGAGCTCTTGCGCTCCCCTTTGCCATGGACCCTTCCAAAGCCTCAGCAGCCCACTGACTCCTGAGTTTACTTTTCCCCAAGAGCCAGATCATAATCAAAATGTTGGGCAAGCAGGTCCTGGGCATGCCGTCGGCAACCTCGGGCCTCCTGCCAAGATCACCGTGACCCTCTAATCCCCACACAGCCCTTGTCCCCAGCCCTCGCTCGAACTGATGGGACAGAGCCCAGCCTCCACCAAGCCTCCCTAGGCCATGCCCTCCTCCTCCTGGCCAGCCAGGCTGCAGACCCCCTCCACCCTCCCTGCCCTGCGGGCCCCAGCACAACAGATGCCGTGGGCAACCCGTGCTGAAACACTCTTGCCATCCTGGCGAGCCAAATAAATGAAACTATGATGGAGTTCCACTCATAATTCTCACTTAAAATGCTCAATTTTAAATCAGGAAAAATTGCATTTCAGTTCGGAATGAGATATTCGAACGGTATTTTTTTTTTTTTAAGATTTTTTTTTTTTAATTTATTTGATAAAGAGAGAGACAGCGAGAGAAGGAACACGAGCAGGGGGAGTGGGAGAGGGAGAAGCAGATTCCCCGCTGAGCAGGGAGCCCGATGTGGGACTCGATCCCAGGACCCTGGGATCATGACCTGAGCCGAAGGCAGACGCTTAACCATCTGAGCCACCCAGGCGCCCCGAACGGTATTTTTAAAGGGCTAAGGCATCCGCCAGTCACCCCCTTCCCTCCCAGCCGCCAAGGCTGCTCCCCGTCGTGAGGGTCAAGCCTGGAAGGGACCTTGGGGGGCTGTGGACGGCACTCCCTAGGACCCCCATGCGTGCGCCGCGGTCACTGCTTCACCATCCCTGGAGTCACGTGCCCACAGGGGCCCAGACCCCCCTGCAGGGGGATGGACCCCGGAGCCTTGCAGCCCCGGGGGCGTTGGACGTGTGACAGCACGCGAGTGGAGTGAGTGTGGCCGTCAAGGACAGCCGTGCCGTCCTCCACATCCCGTAGCCAGCTGGGAGGTCCTGTCCTGCGGGGATGTAGCCCCCAGCTTGGCCTGAGCCTGTGCAGGGGACAGGCCATCAGGAGGGGCCACGTGGCGGCTGGCAGGGCTCCGGCCCCAGGGGTGGTGCTGGTGGCCCGTGGCCCTCGAGACAGACGCCCCAGAGGGCTTCCCAGGCATTGAAACGGCGCCTTTGGGGCTCTCGACTCTCAGCTTGTATTTCAGGACTGACTGTACAAGTCCTCTCCTGTCAAAACCTCCCCAGGCCCAAGTAGCATTGGAACATGAACTGGGGACCTTGTTTACTTAAAGCGTTGCTCCACTCCCTGCAGAACCCACTAGGATTTTGTTACTGCAGTCGTTGGAGATGAAATTTGAAAGTTACCCAAAAAAAAAAAAAAAAAAAACCCAAAATCTTGTAAGTTTGATTCTCAAGCTTCATAACCGCTGGAAGCGCCGATGGGATTATTTATTCTCAGGCAGGCCACGCCGCGCTTATGAACGCCTGGGCTGGAAGCCCGCACAGCAGAGAGCTCCACGCCGGCTGTTTGCTTTTCTAAAGACTCTGGAGCTCGGGCCCTCAGATTCTGGGACGCCAGGCCCCGGCTCAAGTGTTTCTGCCGCAGGCCGTCTGCCGCCAGAGGCCAGGGCCTTCCTGGAGACAGGCACTGCTGGGGGGGGGGGGGCACGTCGGCGCCCCCCTCCCCAGCTGGTTTGATGTGTCTTTTCCACCTTGTGGAGGCTGGGAGGGGCTCTCAGCCTCAGCTCCACACGCTCTCTCTCCGTCTAGATTGGTCCCTTCCCCGGAGGAGCTAGAAGCCACTGGGGCCACTGCCCATCTGGGGATGTTGCAGGAGAAAGAAAGAAGGAGGAACGTGGGCACCTTCCCAGCACTCGCAGGGCTGGCTGGGGGAGGAGGCCCATCCTTTCCTCTGCTCTGACCCTTTGGAGTCTCCTATGCTTGGGACACGGCAGGTCCACTAGCTTGCTTGGTGACTGTAACGGACGGGGTGCCTGGAGTAACAGAATCTATTGTGTCCCAGGCCTGGAGGAGGGGAGTCCAAGGTCCAGGCGTGGGCACTGCTGATCTGCCTTGAAGCTTCTCTCCTGGAGCGTAGACTGTCCTCTGCCGTGTCCTCGTGTGGCTGTCCCTCTGTCCTGATCTCCTGCGCTTATAAGGACTGCAGTCATGTTGGATTAGGACCCACCCTAGTGACTTCAGCTACCTTCATCGCTTCTTGAAGGGCCCTGTCTCCAAACACAGTCACATTCCGATGTGCTGGGGGTTTGGGCCTCAATATGAGGACTTGAGGCCATGACAACTCAGTCCATCACAGAGGACGTCTTCCAGCAACACCGCTGTTGTCCTGACTTCTCCTGTGAGGTGACAGGTGGTCAAGGGCTGGGGCTGGGTGCTCTAAGATCAGCTGCAAGGATGGAGAGGTCCACAAAGGCTTTGGAAAAATAAAACTGGTACAACTTGAATGTAGAAAGTCTTTTCCATCTCCCTGAATGATCCAGTGAAAGTCTTGTGCCCTGGAGGTGGCTCCCACATGCATCAGGCTGTCATCGTGTCCTAGCAAGACCACAGCAAGCACGAGCTACTCTGTCTGTCGGAGATGACTTCCCCAGCTGCCCCTAGTGACCTTCGGGGGCCTCCTCGCATAGGATCTGTTGTTGGAACTCTCGGTCCCACGAAGGATGGAGGACCTGGTACCCCCTCGATCATGAACACACGGACCACCTTCCCTACCTCTGAAACACAGTCCTGGGGAGGATATCTGATGTGTTCTTAGACACTGTCTCAAGCCCAGGTCATCATGTCAAAGGCGTTGGCCATGTCATGGGCCAGACTGAACACTCCCCTTCATTCTTTCTAAAATCCCAGTCCCTCATTGTTCTTAGGACTTGTCCCCACCCCAAAGAAACCCAGGGCCTGGGAGACACAGTGCTCATCTGTCCCGGGACCATAGCTAGCTTAGGTCTGAGTGGTCCCTGGTGGGCTCAGAGTTCCGAGAGATGTCCCTTGATTTCTTGGAGCCTGGGCACCTCTCGTCAGTACCCACGTCCTCCCCGCAGGTCGGGGCCCTGGCACTGGTACACAGATCAAATCAATTCCAGGAATAGCCTCTAGCGTCCCACAATTCCCCGAGGTGCAATTGCAAAATCACCTCTCCGGGCTGTGGTTCCAGGAGCCCTTGGACATGCTCTCAAACACAAGAGGCAAGAGGGGGTGGGAGAAGCCGTCTCCCAGGTGGTGTCAGCATTCTGCTTCCTGCAAAAGGGAGATACACCTGTGGCCCAGATGGGCCGTCCGGGTCCTCGCAGGAATTCCCGCCTGCTTCCCCAGAAGGTCCCGCAGAAGCCAGGCTGCAGGGGTGCCTTCCAGTGCCAGAGACCTCATTCTTCCTGGCCCCGGAACCATGGGAGAGCCTCACCGTCCACATCTGTAAAGTGAACTTAATAACACCGACCTCACCGAACTTCTTTTTTTTTTTTTTTAAGATTTTATTTATTTATTTGAGAGAGAGAGAATGAGAGAGAACACATGAGAGGGGGGAGGGTCAGAGAGAGAAGCAGGTTCCTCGCTGAGCAGGGAGCCCGATGCGGGACTCGATCCTGGGACTCCAGGATCATGACCTGAACCGAAGGCAGTCGCTTAACCAACTGAGCCACCCAGGCGCCCTCACCGAACTTCTAAGGGAATTAGCAGTGACAACAAATGTAAGCACTTAGCACAGATCCCTGGCACGGGAGGAGGTCAATACCGAGTGTCTGTGAAGCACGGGGAATAGGACCAGGAGGCAAACAACATCCACAAAATAGTGAAGAGTTAAGGGGGGGAAAAGGAGGTATGTTTTTCTAAATGTCTGAGGAATTTTTTTTTCCCAAAAGTTTTAGCAGGACAAAGTGGAGGCAAAAGCTGCATTTTGTCCCCCAGGCTGACACCGGCACACACACACATAAATATGCGTAGACTTAGGTAGCTGGATGCAGACATGCTCTCTTCGGGATGCGGTCTACTCTGGTGCTCCGCCGTGAGCTCTATCCATCACACACACCTAAGAGGCCAACCTGAGCTAGGAGAACCACAGGTAAGCTTATTTCAAGACTGTTTGGGGCCAGCGATGAGTGAGGCCACATGTTCGCACCAGGAGTGTTCCAGGAAGCCTCTAGTGCATTCTCCGGGCACCTTAGTTTCTACCCTGGCTCTTTCCCAGGTAAAACGCATCTTCCAAGACCAGGCCATGACTGCAGAGTCCAGTTTGGTGTGAACGTGTGAATGTGAAGTGCTTCTATTATTAAGCTGACACGAGAGAGAGGAATATTTCTCTGGTGATGTGTAGCCCCTCCTGGCATCCAGAATTCCTTTCCCCAAAATCCTTCCAAATAGGGAATTTGCAGCACTTTAAAAATGAGCCAAGGAGACCCCAAGGAATTTGTGGATTTGAAAATACTCAGTGCATAGTGGAAATACCTTTTGCTTTAGAAATACGAAGCTCTCCTAACCACAGAAAGTACAGAAGCACGACCGCACTGACTTCCCTGTTGGGATCCCAGGGCGAGAGCATTTGGAAACTACATCAGAGCCTCCAGTCCATCTGAGTCTTCTCTGGGTGCTGACATTTTCAGTTTCAGCTTTTAAAAGTACGAGG